GTATGGTTGAAGTTTCGCGAATCGAAATTCGCGACATTCACCAGTATGCGTTAAACTTAATACTTGAATTCCGGTAGCCATTCCAACAGATATTTCCTGAAAATAGAAAAAAAATCAGATGTTTACTGTTATCTAAAAATATCATCTGTATTTAAAAACATAAAAAAATAATCGAAAAAAGATCAGAAAAAAAACTACCGTAATAGCAAAATTGGACTAACCTATTCACTTATTCTTCTGTATTTTTTTGTTATTTGTTCTTATATTAAAATTTATTTTACATAAAAACATACTCGTATAGAAAAAGAAGGAAAGTCACATCTGGACATTGATTCTCCTGTGAGTTTTCCATTAAAGCTCGCGAGCTTAGTCCAACAACATCCAATACAGCATAATGCCTGGTAACACTCTTAAAAATTATACTTCAAGCCATGAATCTGTGGATAGACATGGATGTTGGCAAAAAACTGAATTAAAAAATGAGTTTTTTCTAACTCCCAGATTTGTGAAAACTTACAAATTTTAAATTCAAAGAACATTTGCAGATAGAATAAAAAGAAACTACTAACTCCAATATAAACTTTATGTCCCAACTTTTTCAACCACTTCTTTAACCATAGATGGAATCGTAGTTGCTGTACGGAGAGTACTGCAGCGAAAAATCTGCAAAATATTGTGGAATTCTGCAATCGAAAGTCCTCAATTTAAGCATGAAAAATTTTGTTAGAATACGCACTTCACAACTCACTATTCTAAAATAATTGAAAAAATCAGCCTGAAAAACGCACTAGGTTTTCTTTCAGTCTAGATATTGCACAATCTGAGACAAAACCGCCTTTTTCGTTTTGCATGCCAGTGTAAACCACAGAACCTAATGGAACATCAATATTTCCTGAACAGAGATATTGCAAAAATTTTACCACATTAATACCCTAAAACTAAAACAGCAGTGAACACGGTTAAATCACAACTAAAAATTACCATTGAACATTAATTTTAAAGTGTGAGAAAGTAAACAGATGCTTCGAGCTAATCGAATAGAAATTCATTCATTCGATTCATTGTATTTGAAAGTAAGGAGATGAACTGTCTGTAGAACGTACTTCAATGTTGAATTTGGCAAAACTGAATAGATCAATTACTCCGATACGTTCTCTACATGCGTCGTATTGACAAGTTTAAACCATTCCGATTTCCTAATCAGCAAAAACTGTCCACTGTAGAAAGTTAATGAGGTATCTGAAAATCAAATTCATATTTTGAACATATGGAACTTTTGACCTTGTTTACTTAAAGGACCACCCTAATTTATTCTATATATATTTATTTTATATATGAAGCTTAAAAAGAAAAATAGCTCGCTTCCAGAGTAATATCATCTATAATTTTTGCACAGTATTCCAATAGTGTTTCTTAGATATAAAAATATTTCTTGACAAAAAGTAATCTTCTGCATATTTCTTGACAAAAAGTAAGCTCTCGTTGACAAGTATGTTGTATAAGTTGCAGGATGTGCTGCGATAACCACATGTCGAGCTGGCAATTTACTAACTCGAGCAGTACCACACCACTACAATACGTCATATTA